TCCCAGTCCTCAGTGGCAGATGGTGTGGCCAGAGGTGGCTCCGGACCTCCCGCCTCCTTCTTCCCATCCTGGGTGGGCAGTGTTAGGGATGATGACGGTGTTGTGGGTGGGGTCCTGGGGCCAGCCCCGGAGTCCCCTGCCCAGAACGGCTTTGGCTGCTCAGACCTCCCAGGGCCCTGTTGCCTCTGGCCCCGGCCCCGGCCCCGGCCCCAGCCTGGCCTGCGAGGGACGTCCCAGTCCCCACATCCCCTGAATGGCCTCTTGGCGGCGGGGGGCTGGGGGTCGGGAGCCTGGGGGTGGCAGGTGCAGGAGGACAGGGACTGCTGGAGGTTATAGGCCCCCAGCAAGGCGCTGTGCAGGAGGTAGGAGAGGGCGTCCAGGCGAATAGGCACAGTGACGGAGGCCAGGCTCTCGGGGAGCCCCAGGTGTGCTGGATCTGGGGTGCCCAGGAGAGAAGATGGCAGGGCCGGGAAGGGCAGGGGGGGCCAGGGCCCCGTCCCGGGCGGTGGCAGGTGGTTCCTAGAATGGTAAGAGGACCGGTCAGCTGCTCCCACCATCCGCACACCTTTCCCAGGGCAGCCTGGCGGCCTCTGTGCCTCCTGGGGCCCATCTCTCCGCCCTGACTTCTGCATCCAACTCTGGCGCCCTCACCCCCTCCTCCCCACCCCTCTCTCCTCCCGCCCCCTCTCTGTTTCTCCTTTGACAGGGAGACGGGCAGCTGGGCTGGCACTTCAGCATCAGGAAATGCCAGCTCCAGTCCAGGCTGCCCGCTCGGCTCGCTCCTGATGCGTCTCAGGCCAGATCATTTTCCCACGCTAACCTCGATCTTTCCTACCAAAGCCTGCCTTTAGGAGGTGCCCAAGGTGCCTGCAAAACGGCTGGGCCTGAGCCGTGTTCAAGAAACGCAGGCAGGCCCTGACCGGTTTGGCTCAGTGGATAGAGCATTGGCCTGTGGACTGAAGGGTCCCAGGTTTGATTCCGGTCAAGGGCATGTACCTTGGTTGCGGGCACATCCCCAGGAGGGGGCATGCAGGAGGCGGCTAATCGATGTTTCCCTCTCACTGATGTTTCTAACTCTCTATCCTTCTCCCTTCTTCTTTGAGAAAAATCAATAAAATATATATTTTTAAAAAGAAATGCAGGCAGTTATTATTATTACTATTGTTGTTTTGTTGTTGTTATTATTATTATTCTTTCTCCAGTCCTATGGCTGTTCCTGGCATTTCCCAGTCTCCTGGTTCATTCTCGAAATCCCTCTCTGTTCCAGGAATATCTGCTTCTAGCTCTCTCCCTAGCCCAGTGATGGCGAACCTATGACACGCGTGTTAGAGGCGACACGCGTACTCATTTTGGGGGGTTGATTTTTCTTTGTTAA